TATGTAAAATTTCCTAACTATCCCTATCTTTTAGCAAATGATTACTCATTTTTAAAATGCACATCCAAAAAGTATCTAGGACCCATGTCATAAATAAAAGAACAAACCTTAATATGTACAGTGCATAAATACGGAGGGTTGACTCTTGACTTTTCAGGGAAGCAGGTTGAATGCTGAAAACAATAGACTATCAGGTCTATTTTTTATCCCAAGATGGATAAAAATTGCAGCTTTTTGTCCCACATAAAAAGGTGGGACAAAAAATATGTTCTCAAAATTATTATACTTTAAGAAATATATGTAATTATAGCAATGCATTTTTTATTAATTAATTAACAAATTGAAGTAGGATGCTATAAATATAATAAACAAATTGACAAAAGTAGAAAATACAAATGATAAGAACCTGAAATTGGCAGGGGAGAAAACTCCAATCCAGTCATCATTTGATGGGTTCAAATTGCCGATGTACACATTCACCCATTCAGAATTTTGGCCCTACAAATACAAAATAACCAGCATAGATATGTGAGAATGATTAACAAAATTCAAATATATCACTTCATTATCTTCAAAAACTTTCATTGTTGTAACAAAATAGAATATGATTACATATATCACAAGGAGTTCATTTAAGCAATTAGATAATGAAGGGCAATAACGTCATTTACATTGTGATAGCATACTTCATCAATTTCACATAGCCGCTTGCTGCGTCAAAAACATCAACATCGAATTTGCCATCAGGGCTTGAAAAGGATGAAACACCAATTGTAGAGATATCTACGTGAACACAAATGGGAAATATGTAATCAAAATAATATTAAATATAATTTTATTAAATCTTATTATAGGTTAAGAATTCAGCTTTACATCAGGTAAGCCTTCATCAATAAAATACTCCTTTATTGTTTTAGTGTTCTCAAAGATTTTATCAGTAACTCCTTTAGGTGTTGGCCCACCGTTTTCCATATTGTATTTAATTCCAAAATCCTGAAAAGCATACAAAAAATATGAGTAAACTTTTTTAAGCTTTAACAATGTTTAGAGTTTTATTGTTAAGAAAATATCACATACCTCATTTGGACCTCCAGGGTTGTGACTGGCTGTCAATATAAATGCTCCATTTTCTTTAAAACCCTAGAAAATTAAATATATAAAGGTTATTAATTATTGATTTAGTAAGGTTATTCTATTAAATATCTTGAAACCAGATAAACTTACATCAGCACCAACTCTTTCACGTACAACTGCTGATACCGCAGGTGTTGACAAAAGACCATTTTGACCAACCCAGATACGTCTTGCACCATTTGCATCTGTCATTTTAATTATTATCTGCATTTTTTATATATAAAATATCAGACATTGAATCTTGATAAGTCAACAGAAAAGATTGATGTAAGCACCTGGATAGCATCCTTTGAGTAGTACCTTCCATCACCTGATACAACAAGTATAGAACCTGCGCGGAAGAAAAATGCATCATCAATACATTTGAAATGTAAGGGTAAAATGGTCATTTAGTCCCGTTCAGATGGTTTATTGGGTCTAGAAAAAAAAGACTTTATGTATATAGTACTTTATGTAGACAGACATTTCCCATTCAGAACTTAATGAGGAAAAAAGAAAGAAAGATCTCCTAAGAGTATTGCTGACTCTGGTTACTAATAAACTAGAAGTGGCATGGTCTCTACCTTTAATTTTTTCAGCAGAAAAGGCGTTGAATGTTGATTGAACAAAATTGTGCAAGTAATACGGTTCCTGAAAAAATTCAAGTTCAATCACATCAGTTTGCTAGTTAAGATGAAAGCAACCAAAACATGTATCAACATATTCTATCAAGAGAACATGGATATTGGTAAGTTACAGGTAAAAATAACAAAGTAGCATGTCAAATGAATGACTTTTTGTCCCTAAGAATGACTTTTTTTCATTTGGATAAGTTGCTAACTAGAGGTCTGGGGAAGGAATAGTAGATCTTTGCATCCAATATATTGTGTTTTTAAGCTATTGAACAATTCCTTGTCTTTTGTTCTAAACTTGAATTAAACATAAATTCATAGATTTCTCATAGCCATTTAGTGCTGACTACTGATTGCTGAACTATACCAGCTTAGTTTCAAGTAAGATGTATTTTGTTAAAAAAAGGACAAATTTAGCTTAATTGGGCTCAGTATCCAAGTGCACATGGTTTAATGCCCATTTTCCTACCATATTTGATCTCTGATCAACTAATAACTCTTATCATTTTTGCCTCTATTATGTAAACCTGAAGAGAAATGTAACACCCCAAATCCAGCAGACCAAGAAAGGGAAGGAAAACCCTAAGGTAATGGGTCAACTCGTCGAGTTCAAGGAAGAACTCGACGATCCGGAGCAAGTTGCCATGTAAGGGGTTAAGTGACCAACTCGGCGAGTCTGGTCTGGGGTGGGAAACCCTAAAATTGGGATTTGGTACCCTATTTAAACATCTCATTCTCATTCCATCAGCCTCATTTGTAGCCTCCACTGTCCAGAGCCTAACCCACGAAACCCTAATGTTCTCTTTGAGTGTGTGAGACATTATTGAATGATTTAGAGTGTTCTTGAAGTCTAGAAGAAGAAGAAGGAGGTTGAAGGTTCAAGGGGAAGGTTGTAGATCCAGGAAGTTTGTTTCATCTTCATCATTTTTTGGTAATCAAGTTCCTTTCTTGCCTTATGGTTTCATAGATCTCTTTATGGTCATTTTATGGGGTTTTGGTCCAAGATTGTTAGTTTTTGGGACTTGGACATTCAAAGCCAAGATCTTTTCAGATCTGATGTCCTTGAGGGTGAAGAAGGCATAAAGTTGCAACCTTTATGCCATTGAAGTCCCATACAAGCGCTAAGAATGTTATGATGGTCCTTTTTAGCCCAAGAGCCCATGCATGAAAGGAAATGTTGAAGCTTTGCAT